TTCGCGGCGCTGACCCGGTAAGATACCTGCACGTGGCTGCACAGCACAGACTGCGTCACAGCAGCATTGCTTTTGTTCCACGTAAGGTCGAACGACGTTTCATCCCACATGATATTGCGAATGAAAAAATCCAACGGTAGCCGCCTGATGTCCCGCAAACCTTCGGTTTGACGATTCATCGCAACTTCAGCAACGATGTAGCGGCAGTCTGAAGCTGGTCCGTGTCCGGCACCCTCAATCTGCTGGGCCACGTCCCGCTGACCGGACACTTCTGCCCCAAACCCAGCACGGAGGATGGCGTCGGGGGTCCAGCATTTCCATCGCCCTTTGCCCCGAACCGGCGCTCGTTTTTCGGAAGGCGCAACGATACGATGGTCGGCTGTCCTTGCCTGGCCACTGCGATTCAAAGACTCTGCTTGCAAGTTAAACAAGCGATCACGTTTCGTTTTCGTCTTGGTGATCTGTCTGCGGACTCCAAGCCCAGCAGGCCTGCCCCTTCCGCGCCCTCTGGACGCGGCCACGGGTCCGCGACCCGGTCTGCGACCTGCTTGAGCTCTGCTGCCTCCTCTCGCGCCCGGTCTGCGACCTTCTGCACGGGCGTCCTCTTGTTGGACGTTCAAGTCTGCGAGTATTTGCAACGCTACCTCCATGATTCATTGCCATTTTTATAAAATATGTTTCTTCTTTCTAATATACTTTCAAATGTGATGACAGTACGTGTATATTATAAAAGTAGTTAAGCTTATTTACAACACACAGCAATATTTCTTTATTTACCCCGAACTTCCAATTGTGAAACTTCTGAAAGGTGGGTTCTGCCATCATGGGCCCTCTCCTTGAACCAGCATCCGAGTTGAACACTTTGTCGCTGGAACAACAAGAGTTGATCTTGTGATTTCACAAAATGTTTGATAACAAGCAGCGCTAGCTACTTCTGGGCCTTGGCCTATAGGTATGCATGCTGTAATTTACGTATTGCAAGAGTATGTCAAAATCTCGAATATCCAGTCCCGAATGCCAATATGAACAAAGTAACAAAGGAAAAGTCAGTCTTTGCAAAACTGTACTACTCTCACTTCTTCCCGACTTGCCCTATAAAACCTGTGAACAGACTTGTTACATACACATATCACTTCAGAATCACTGACACATCACCGCATCACCCATGCAACCCTTGAACCTTGGACCTGCACAGACCTCGCGCCCTTACCTCACTGCCGGACCTGAACATAAACCTGACAAACCTCAATCAACACAGAACCCAAGAAAACCCCAAACCGCCCAAACCCCTTTACACCCAGCACGCTCCAGGCCCTCAGGGCCGCCTTCGTTTTGCAGGCGCGCTGCACTGCGGTGCTGCTCTCTGACGAGAGACTCTGGGTGAGACCGGCTGGCAGCGTCAGTTTTTTGCAGCCCTGATGCTAGTATCTGACATTGAATATGCCCGATTATAGAAGGAACCCCAGAACTGACGCTGCCCGGCCTGGCTAGGAGGTACGCCTACGCTGCTACGGCTGCTACAAACTACAGCTCCGGCTACGGCGGTGAAGCTACGGCTACACGGCTACGCTGTCCACGTTGCCTACGCTGCAAGGAGCTACAGCTACAGCTACAGGCTACAGTGCTACAGGTCTACGGCGGCGAAACCCGGTCAGCGACCCCGTGCTGTTTTGGCTTGCACCCGGTCAACGACCTCTTCCGTGCCCCTTTCGGGCCCTTTGAAGCCCCTTTTTTTTTCTCCTTTGCTTTACCCGGTCAGCGACCTTTTCCCCCAGCTTTGCCTTTTCCTTTCCTCGGTGCCCAGGCGTAACCTCGCTCGTCGTTGGAGGGTCTCGACGTGTGCACCGGAGCACGCCAATCAAAGCCTCCGTTGACATCGCATCTAAAAGGCATTTGATCACCTCCACTTCGCGCCTCTGTTCTATGTCACTCTGGGCCCGCGGCTGGTTGGCCAGTGACATCAGAGCTGTCCAGTTGGGAGGCTGACGCTGGCTTGTCACCTGGTTGGCTAGGCACGGCGCCTTTGCCAGCACCAGGTATGTCAACCCGTACCAGCGCTCGCGAGCAACTACGTGCAGAGGCGTCACCCCTGCGACGTCTTTCATGCTCGCGACTGTCTCATCTGGCATCTCCTGCAGCAGATCGTTCGCGCGGGAAGCATCTTTGCTCCGCAGCGCCGCCCAGAGCTCTTCCACCCGGTCAGCGACCGCATCTGCCTGCTCAGGCTGCCGCTTGAGAAGGACCTCAAGCCGCTCGTTGAGCTTCTTCTGCTCCTCGAACAGGAGCTCCAAAACTTGCCTTGTCGCGGCCTCGTCTGTAGCCAAGGCCTCTGCAGTTTTCTGCAGCTCTTCTTCGTCATCGTCCTCGTCCGTGCCATAATCCACCTCCTCCTCCAAACTCAAAGGGGCTGCACCAGCTGAAGAAGAGGCGCTGGCAGCCGCCACCAGACCAGCCTCCCTCACCTGATGACGCATGGTCCTCAAGTTGAGGAACACTTCCTTCAGCACGTCCGGCAGGCTCTGCTTGACTTTTTTGCTCTCTTCCTCCGCCGGCGGGTCGGGCGCCTCCTTTCGCCTAGAACCCACCTCCTCTTTCGGCTTCAAAACCACGGGAGGGGCCTCCTTCTCAGTCTCCTTTGGCACTGACGCCGACGCCGTTGACCCCTCCACCTCCTCTTTCGGCTTCAATACCACAGGTGGTGGCTTCTCTTTCTCCCGCTCTGCGAGCTTCTTCTTCTCCTCCTCCTCCTCCTTCAGTGCCTCAGCTCCTCCCGAACTTGCGGCCTGGAGCGCTTCTGACGAGCTTGCCGCGGCCTGGCTGGCCTCGTGGGCCTCGGATCGCTCCTTGAGCAATTCCGCGATCTTCTCCTGCGCGTTCTCAGGCCCGGGCCCCAAGGCTTTGCCCTTGCCCTTGTCACCCTTGTCTTTGGGTTGCCAGGACTTCTGGCCTCCTTTCTGTCCTTTCTGCTTCTCTTCAGTTTCACCCGGTCTGCGACCTGTTGTTCCCCGCGCTACTCCCCGACGGCCATCTACACAGGCCTTGACGACACTTGCGGGGATCTCATTTGGCAGCCCGAGCCCCACACTTCTCGCAATGCTCCAGTACTCCTTCGAGACGCACACCTGGTTGAGGGCCACCCGGGGAAAGTTGGAGCTCTTGCGTAGCGCCTCCAGCCTCTCCTGAAGCCCTTCACAAAACTTCAAAGCATTCAGTTCCGCTCTCCTGGGAGGGTGGGACCAAACATCTACGATATTTCGTAAACGTTGCATGTAGTCGGCTATGACACCCGGTTTGCAACCTGTCATGAACATGAGGAGCATCAAGCAGATCAGCGCGGACCTGTGAGCTCCGTTGCGGCAGCAAACCAAAAGACTTGCGCCCTTCAAGAGCTTGCTGCAGACTTCCGCGATCCGTGCAAGGATGGGCTCCAGCGGAATATCCCCTGCCATCACCCCTGTCCCATCCGTAACAGGGTAGATCGTGAACGTTGACTGAGTTGTTTGGCTTCTCTCGAAAGAAGCGGGCCAGATGGCCGCTATCTTCGCTTCCTCGAGCAAGCAGGCATCTGAGGATGCTGCCACGCCCCCTAACCATAACTGACCTTTGGAGTTGAAGGCCGCTAGGTCGAGCAGTGGGTGCATACAGTGCTGCTGGTTATACGCATCTCGACAGTGTCGGAGCGCCTTGACCTGCCCGCCGTACGGGTCCTGGAGAAGGGACGTCTTCAGCGTCTTGACGGCCCTTCTGTCTTTGAACTCCTCGCCACGAGCCTCTGACAAAAGCCAGCGGCGTGGGTCGGAGCTCGGAAAGACCTCCGATGCATCAGCCTGCATCGAAAACCCGCTCTGCGAGCACTCTCTCTGCAAAGCTGGCTTGTCACCCGCTCTGCGAGCACCCTCTGAAGCACACCCGCTCTGCGAGCACCCTTCAAACCATGGCAGACCTACCTACGGCTGCCTACAACGTGCTCTGGCTGTTGTTGCTTCCTGCTGTTCCTACCGCAAGCATGCACCTACCTACGGCTGCCTACAACGTGGTGCTCTGCCTGTTGTTGCGGCCTAGCCTACGCATGTCATGTGCCTACCGGGGCCTGAGCCGTAGCTTGGACGAGCGCGGGACAAAGAGGCTGCTTCGGCTTCGGCTTCAGGCTTGAGCAGTTCAGCTTCCTAGTTGCCTATTTACAAACCGTCCCGCCCCCCCCCCCTCATCAATCCCTCATCAATATAATCATCATATTCATCAAAGTTCATCAATACGCCACCCGCTCTGCGAGCTGAGAATCAAAAGATCTTGCTTGTTATGTAAAAAAACAAAAGATTTCGTATAATTCTTTGCGATACATGGATTTCATAAAAGAATTTCTCAAATAATTATAAATATTAGCAAAAGTTTCTGAAGATTTCTCAGATTATTCAAAATCTGGTTGTTGCAGATTTTCATGTTTTTCATGTTTTTTGGCAGTATATCTTTTTCATGTTTTTTGAAAAAGCTGAATTTCGTTCGGCACCGATGCTTTTAAATCCAATCAAGGCAAAAGGGTACTGCTTAAGAACCTAATGTAGGAACCTGATTAAGAAACCTTGGGCCTTTATTAGGGTTCCTTATATTGATCCTACTCTTTGGGGTTATAGGCCCAGGGTCTCTTCATCAGGTTCCTACATTATTATAGTACCCTTATAGATCCCCCTATACTAGCCCTTATAGACCCCCCTTTAAAGGAACCCTAAAAGAGGCCCAGGGTTCCTAACTATAGTCTCCATTGTAGTTCCTTTTTTTGGTTAACCAAAATCTCTATAATAGGGTCCTAACCACAAAACTGGTTAGCCAAAAAAAGGAACTACAATGGAGACTCTAGGTACATTATTATAGTACCCTTATAGATCCCCTTATACTAGCCCTTATAGACCCCTTTAAAGGAACCCTAAAAAAAGGCCCAGATTTCCTACATTAGACAGTGCTCAAGCCCCTGGGGGTCGGAGAGAGGGGGCAGCCCAAGCGGCGTCCACACCTCTCGAGGCCATTCGACAAGGCCAAAGCCTCGGCCATGCAATCCTGCAGCGCTTGAGACGGACCGTTCAGGGGCTTGATTTTCGGGTTTAGGGTTCCCGGATGTTGGTGGATTGAGGCGTAAGGTTGTGTTACGTTTCCAAAAAAGGGAGGTTGGTTTTAGGGCGGGTGCAGCGCACGTGTGCTGCGGTGGCGTTCCGTGAAATCGACTTACTAATCCCTTGATTCTCAGAGTTGCATTTGTGGTCCTCCTTCTCAGGGTAAAGGATGTTGGCTGTCGAAGCCCTGTCTAATTACGTAGTCTGTTGGAAGTTCAGAGTTCAGGGCCCATACAATGCACATTCTATTGGTGCTGGAATTGTTTGCCGCCAAGAATCCTGGCACTAAGGCGGCCTCTGCCCTGTGCTACTACACGGAAAGGCTGATTGATTCGAACTCCTTTCAAAATTTCGACCCTGAACCCTAAACCCTAAACCTAAGCCGCTCCGCACGGTTGTTGAGGACCTGGACTGTGAACTCCGGATATGAAGCCCCAAAGGATGAGATGTACCCACAAGCCGGAAGGACTGGTCTGATACTAGGATACCCAGAAACCTAAGAATAAAAAGGCCTCTCTTTTTGGTATTGGGTAACTTTATAAGGAACCTAGGACTACAAAAAGGGAATAAGGGCACTGCTGGGCATCCTAGGATATAGGGGCCTGAATCCTTAGAACAGGGCTTTGCGGCATGTGACAAAAAGCCATTCCCTAAGATAGTATAGGTAGTTATTCAGGCCCCTATAATAGGCCGAGGAACCCTTGAAAACACTCTTACAGAGCCTGAAAGCTGAAGAGAGCCCTAACAACAAACCTTCAAACACGATGATCGCTCCACTCTCTGCGATCTTTGCGCCTCCCAAGTCAAGTCAGTGCCAGACAACAGCGTTTCCTTGCTTTGAGAGGAAATAGGGTTTAGGGGCCAGAGTTTTCGGGCCTTTTCGGTGATTCTGCTGACTATGGTTTGCTCTCGGCCAAGAGCTCAGCATGCAGAGAAAGGGCTTGTGGTTTTAGGGCTAGCGGCCGGGGCTTGAGACTGCCTTATGGTTTCAGTCCAGACAGAATTCGCGTCGTGATGCTGAACGAGTTTCGGGTACGACAGGAATGTACCTTTGGAAGTCTTTAGCCGGTAAGAGAACGGGCTGCAACATCATTCAGCTTCAAATCATCGGACTTTGGGTATCAAAGGCCAATCCTTTCCCGTGGGAGGTCAGCGGCTGTTTCACGCCTGAGACTGGCAGTCAGACTCCACATCGAAGCCTTTCAGATGGAGAGATTCCCACCAACACCTTCAACCGAAAAACCCCACACCATTCAGGGTTTCCGGATCTCTTCGAAAGGTGATCGTCGCACCGGTCTTGCTCAGGAGGTTAGGATTCGGACAATGCAGAAAGAGGAGGAAGAGTCGGAGGACGCTGAAGATGTTCATGAAGCTGGCAATGATGAGGATGAAGATGATTGTGACAAAGGTCAGCATGATAATGCTGCGGGTAAGGAAGGCGATGGCGCTGTTGGTGGTGGTGTTGTTGATGGCGATGTTCATCACCATCATGAACGAGACAAGCATCATTGTCAAGCTTGCGAATATAACGCAAAAGCGATGGCGATGGTGGGAACAGTATTGGTCTTCCTGATGGCGTTGATGATGCTGTTGTTGGTGATGATGACGATGACGATGAGGGCGGGGATAGCGAGTACCGGGTAATGTTGGTTGGTGCTGTGCTGTTAACGACATGCAAAACACGTGTGTTGCTGATGGCGGTGAATGTGGTCAGGATGATCATGGTGACCTTCACCTTGCTGGAGACTGGAGAGAGTGGCTGTGGTGAGGATAGCGATCGAGATGATGATGATGATGAGGATGATGATGACAATGGTGGTGGCGTTGACCACCACAATGTTCTTGGTTCCAAGATTGAACGGACAGGCAGTTGAATTCCGAGATGGCTACCAGCAACAGATTCAATCACTGACGCAGAACACTACTTGGAGGCTCATGGGTAGTTATAAGTGGAGTTATAAGCCCCTTACTTTTTTCTGCACTTACAATGACTTACAACTACCCATGAACCTCCAAGTAGGCCGGCAAAGGACCGACCCGTTGTCACACTTGACCACGGTTTAGGGTTTAGGGTTAAGGCTTATGGAAGTCTTGGAGTTTTGGCCTTACTGATCTTGCTGTTGTGTGGGTTCCTGCTCATGGGAAGATTCAGGATTGGAGGGTGAAGGGGCCGAGTGCGAGTGCTGCCAGGTATCCATGCAGATATCGTCTCGCACATCCAGCAAGCCTGACTCGGATTTGCATTATCTCTGGGCTGCGGCTTCTGAACTTGCCTTATGTTCTGTGTATACAAATGCATATGTACATCATATATACACATACATACAGACAGACAGACATACATACATGTACACTATATGTATGTATGTATGTACGTAAGTATGTATGTATGTATCTATGCCTGCATTGCTGCATACCAACATACATAAACACATGCATGCATACATACGTACATACGTCCATACATACATGCATGCAAACGTTCATAGTTACATCTTTACATACTTACATACTTACGTACATACATACATATACATACATATACATACATACACGCACACACACACACACACATACATATACACATACACACACACATGTACCCACACAACCATTTGCACCTATGCATGCATACCTACATTCTCGCGCATGCATACATACATACGTACATACATGCATACATAAATACACACATGTATGCAAACATGCATACATAAGCACATGCATGTGGGCATACAAGAGCACATAGGTAGGTTGGTTCCTGTATGCACATGGGTTTATGCAGAAATGCGCAAGCGTCGACCAGACTCACAGCTTGGCTCACCCCAACAAGCATCGCAGAAGCCACTTACCACATACCACGGAAGCGAAAGCACATTGGCATGCAAAGTCTTGAGTTTAGCGGCTTGTTTTAAGGTGCTGAAACGGACATGGTCAACATGATAAACCCTCAAACCCTCCAAAACATGAACTCTCGACCATGAAAATCCTAAACGCTTAAAAACCCGCTAAACCTCTAAACCCGCAAACCCTCGAAAACCTAGGCCCATTCTCTCTAAACTCTAAACTGAGGCCCCGGAAGCCGATAAGCCCCAACGCCGCAGCCCTCTTGGATTGAGGACTCGGGGCCTCCTCATGAACACCATATGGGCGGTTCTCAAAATTATGGTCCCTTTTTGGGTACCCTAAGTATTAGGTGCCGTAATAAAATAAGGACCCTAAAAGGGACCATCATTTTGACAACCGCTCATATACAACTCTGCATTTAGGGTTGCAAGAGCTTGCAGCTTAAAGACCCCATGAACAGCAGACACCGTCTGTAACAAAAGACACCCTATACCCTCAACCCTAAACCCCTATACAGCCTATACATCATACACCATCTATTTAGCCCAAACCTTGCAAGCGCTTAAGGATTCACCTCGCAATGTTTAGGGTGTGCCGATTGCCTGCAGCCCCCACACTTTTTAACAAACTCAAGAACAGCCCAAACTTTCAGGAAGACTTCTTAGATCCTCTTAGGTTTCTGTTGGCTGAATCAGGGTTCAGGCCAGACATAAAGGTCCCGCAGACGTGTATAAAGCACCGATGACCTGAAACACACCCTTCGAGAAGACGTACAGGAACCCGTAAAGGAACACGTGCAGCAACCCTTAACAGGACCCTCAAAGCAACCATAACATGACCCCGTAGAGGGAACCCTTAACGCAGCCCTACAGCTGAGCTGTGCACCTTTCTTCACTTTGAGAAAGCCCGACCGCTCTAGGAGTCCTCGCGTCGGTGGTGAGGCTGCAGTGTTGCAGGATCCGGGCGATTATATAGTTTGTTGACGGGTGTGAAGCGTTAGAGGCTGCCAGGGCTGTATAAGGCTATTCGCTCATGCTTCACGATGCCCTAGTAGCTCTTCACCGCAGGGCTCTTGCCCTTTGGGAAAGAAGGCTAAAGCGCAAAAGAGACAAACGGAGAATACGCGCACGAACTGGTCAGACCAATACAGCCTGTACAACCCTCATAATCGCCGTTGTAGAAATGAACTCGTATGGCACCCGTACAGTAACTTTTGCAATGTACCCTAAACCCCGTCCCTAAGGGTCCAAGTAGTTCCTATTTATGGTTTTTGGTACCTAAAAAGGCCCTAAAGTCCTATAATAGGGAGTACTTGGACCCTCTGGGCGTCTGAATTACCCTGCACCGGGCCTTCTGCGAATTCTTTGGGCTCTTCCACGCCAGTGAGGAGCCATGGCCTGAAGTACTGCAGCGGGCCTTAATAAGTAGAATAGGGTTTAGGGTTTACGTCTATATTGGACTTGTTCCAGCGGATTTAGGGCTTAGGGGTTGGGGTTTAGAGCTCGGGGTTCAGGGTTTTTCAGTTTCGGGTTCAGATTCTAGGTTAGGGTTTAGGGTTTAGGGTTCAGGGCTTGGGGCTTTGGTGACCCAGGATTTGAGTCTCTGGTTGCTATATGTTGAGACCGGTTCGTGGAGGGCTCACGTGGTGTACAACAATGTGGAAGCCCCTTGAAGGGAAATATACAATATAGGGGCCCTGCAGGTGCGGAGGGGGGGAGGCAAGGGAGGCCGAGGAGGCGGAGGAGGGAGGAGGGGAAAGAGAGGAGGGGGAGATACTACCTACTAGCCACCCAGATCTGTAGATTGGACTTCAGACTTCTCCGACCTGGCTCCAAGTTCGGACTTCATCGCGCTAGTTGCGAGGTTGTGGCGAAGCTTTGGGCTGCAGGCAAAGGAATCCATTCGGGCTTCAGGGTTTCAGCGGCTGGGTCGAGAGGTTTGGCTTGAGAGCTTCGGGTGGAGATGTCCTGGGCCTCGGGCCTTGGGGTTTAGGGTTTAGGGTTTAGGGTTTAGGGTTTTACTGTTCTAGCGCAAACCTCGCTTTGCGCGGTGTCTGCGTTAACAGAGTCGTGAGGGCTGCTGCTGTTCCAGCCGTTTCCGATGCCTTTTCGAAAAGGGGAATTGTGGGGAATCTGCTAGTAACCCCTGCAAGTGTTAAAGGACACTTCTTGCCGCTCAGCGCGAACCTTCTGGCTTCGCAGCTTACAGATCAAGGCACTGGGGTTGTGCCGAGGAAAATAGTAGTGCCCCTGCACCTGCCGTTCGACCGCAGCTCATAGGGCACTCGCTTCTTCGAACTCCTACCGTTGATTCTCGATTGAGCCATCCCTACCAGCACTTCCCACCTTGGGTCGTGCATGGTAGCGGAGCCCAGAGGGGCTTCAAGTGGTGAAGAAGATTCAGGGCAAAGGCGACTGCACAATACGGCTTCTGCAGTCGAATCATGACCGGGTCGGAATCTGCTGGCAGGGAGGGTGGCCCTCCAAGCTGGGATGGCGATGCCGCTACCTTTCAGGAATTCGAGGAGGCTTGTCTGCTTTGGGAACAATCAATAGCTTGGGAGAAGCGCTACTTGTGCGGACCAAAGTTAGCAGCGAACCTGACGGGAGCGGCAAAGCGGTACGTGGCCGGACGACACCCGAGTTGGCTGTCTCACTCCAAGGGAGTGGAGGACCTATTGGCACACCTCCGTGCCAGCCTGGGACGTCCACAGGTGTCGGACCTCACCGACCACCTGAGCCGCTACTTCAAGGGATCCAGGAGGAGATCGGGCGAGAGTGTGAATGACTACATCTCGAGGAAGACGGAGATCTACCTCCGTGCGTGCCAGGCCTACCAACGAGTGCGACCTCACCAGAAGAAGAAAGTTCAGGCAACTACGGCAGCGGGGCAGTGGACGCCTACTTGGAGCGCGAGTCGCCGGAACAGCAGAGAGAGCGATTTCTCTGCAGAGGCGGCGGGAAATGGTGAGGGCAATGCCGAGACCGAGGAGGCCACCGAGGAGCACCAGGACCAGGATGGTGGAAGTGGATGGCGAGATGATCAATGGTCCTACGGGAGCAGCAACTGGAGCTACAATTCATCGTGGAGCTCCAGCTGGGCGTGGGGCTATCGGCCATGGGGACACCAGAGTGTCCGCGAGGCCCCCGTCATTCCGGAGTTGTTACCGGACTATGTCCAAGGGTGGTACCTCCTACATGACTCAGGCCTTTCAGGTGCCGAGAAGAATGTGGTGCAGACGGCGTTGCAGGGAGACTTCTCTGTGGCGCGTGTGGCTCAGGAGCTCAGGAATCAATGTTCGGTGTTGGACAACCAGCGGAAGGAGTACGCTGGACGCAACAGCGGCTACCTCGGGGAGTACCAGGACCCCGACGTGGAGAACGATGAGTACAAGGATGACGGGTTCCTGGCCGACACGGACGAGGAACTTGAGGACTGGGAGATGGCGGAGAACGAGGCTCAGGAGGCCATGGCGGCGATGCACACTGCCAAGCGAACCTTGCGGGAGGCTCGTCAACGACAGTCCAATGTGAGACTATCCCGCCAATACTTTCGCACCAATGCGGGCGGCGCAGGGAACAAGGGCAAGGAGCCGCACAAACCCAGAGACGACACCAAAATCCACTGTCTTCGGTGCGGAGTGTTAGGCCACAGAGTGGCCAACTGTCCTCAACCTGTTCAGGCCGCCAAGTCTGCGGAGGAAGTGACCGCCACCTCCTCCTTCATCTGCTACAACGACGTGGAGCTCTCCCTGGCGGCGGACCTCGAGGAGCACTCTTATGCGGCAGGCATCAGCACGATGGAGGCAATGCATCAAGGGAAGGCCGTGATTGACGGCGGGGCCACTCGAACTCTGGCTTCATGCGCAGCGATGGAGGCCATCATGGACCTCAATGCCAAGCGTTCCGGACACAACGGGCTCTTGAAGGTGGACAAAGACAACTGTCCTACGTTTGGGTTCGGGAATGGGTCGACCAACAAATGCACGGCGACCGTTCAGCTGGCCATCCGCGCAGATGAGAAGCCTGGTGCCTTGACTGTACATTGTTTAGACCAAGGCTCAGGGCCGCTTTTGTTGTCTGTGGACACTTTGAGACGGCTAAAAGCCGTTATAGATTTTGAATCAGATTTGGTATGCTTTAGGTCCCTCGATGATCGGAAATTGATCCAGGTAGAACGGTCCCAAACAGGACATCAGTTACTACCACTGACAGAAGACATCTTTAAGAACAGCCTGGCCGCCACATGTGCGGTTCCGAGTCTGAAGGATCTGACTCAGCCACAGGCCTAGGGACATCTCCTTCCTCCTCCTAGTTCCGGGGAGGCTGTGAAGGTACAAGTGCAATCGGAATCAGGGGTGAAAACCACTCTGAGCACAGCTGCTTTAGGCAGCACACAGGAGTTCAGGAGTGATGATTGCAGTAGTGTTGGTGTTTGCAATGCTAATTCGGTTCAATTGGTAAATGAGTCTGTGCAGAGAGCGACGACGCAGGGAGCGACGACGACTGCCAGTTCCAGCAGAACGGGTACATCATGGGCCGCAGCCGGTTCAGATCAAGACCCCACCGCGAGTCCAAAACCAGTTCCTCTACTGTGCCAACATGCCGAAGGCCACCAAAGCCGATCTCCGGGCGGAGCTCTTGGAGTTGGGCGAGGAGGTCCCAGCGCGATGGACGTGCATGGAGATGGAACAGCGACTGCGGGAACTTCGTTCACAGGGCCTAGCCGACAGCGAGGAGCCGGCGACCATGACCCAGATGGAGATGATGAACAAGGAGCTGCGCAAGGCAGCCCGGAAGAAGGATACATTGGTCTCCCATTGTCGGGAGACCCTCAACATGGACTTGACCGGCAACGAAACGATGGCGATCCTGCAGGGCAAGGCCCTCCAGGTCATCATGAAGACCAGCAAGGCGGAACCGGGCGACTTCGTGGGCTTCGGGTGCCACTCCAAGGAGCGGTACATCACCGTCCACCGGGAGTTCCCGGAGTATGCGCAGTGGGTGAAGACGACCTACAAGGAGTCGGGGGATGCCGGAGTGGACCATCGACTGGCCCGTCTAGCCAAGTCCCAGGGCTACATGGCAACCAACAAAGGACCCAAGCCAAGTCGCACATCTGGAAGAAGGTCCGATACGGGAGTACAGGGCAGTGCCGATGTGAATCCCACGAGCACCACGAAGGAACAGGACAAGAAGCTGGAGCTCATGGCAGAGGCTCTGGACATGTTGCGCGCGGAGCTTGCAGAGGTACGTGCAGAGAGACCACGCAAGACCGTGGCCCGAGCGGACGAGGAGATGACCGACTCCTCTTTCAGCCTGATGTCGGAGATCAGCAACAAGGAGAGCCCCAAGAAGTGAGTGAGGCTAGTTCTGAAGAGGAGTGCGGTGTTATGAGTGCTTCTCAGAGGCTAAGTGCTGAGCTAAGAAGAGCGAAGCTTCGGGATCTCAGTTCAGCGCAAGCCCGGAATCTTGAGGATCAGGCTTGGTCCGTGGTACCCCAACTTTTCCAGTCTTTGATTGGGCACAATAGACCGTGTCTGATGGAGTGTAGTGACTGCGAGAGCTTACTTTCGAGCGCGGTCCGAACACAAGCTAAAAGCGAACAGGCCGCGACGTCATGTGCAGCATTCAATGGTTGCGAGCTGTCGACAGATGCCGGTGTGCGATTGATCATACAGCGCATGGAAGTGGAGCAACCCTTGCATGTCTGGCTCAGTCCCCAAAGTAGTCCCTACTCCCCGTACCAAAACAGCAACCAGCGTGATTCTCAACAAAAGGCGGCGCTTCATGAGAAGCGCCAACAGGCAATTCGCGAGTACGTCGGAGCAACATGTGTCATGCATCACGCCATTCAGAAGGGGATGCACGTGACTTTGGAGTTGCCCGACAGGTCTGAGGCATGGAGGCTGCCTGTGTTGAATAGGATCCAACAGAAGTATGGTCTTCAGAGGGCTGTGGTTCGTGGGTGTGCTTTGGGAATTCGGGATAGGTTGGGTAGTAGTATGACGGGAAAAGGATGGAGAGTGTTAACTACCCACCAACGGTTGGCCAGTAGTCTCCAGCTTCCGTGTCCGTGTCCTAAAGGAAGTCAACATGGGAAAGGTGAAGAGGATTCCCAGAAACCCCAAAGTAGGTACCCCGAAGCCCTGGCTAAACGAATAGCGCGAGTTCTCCTTCAAGAGCTCACCCATCACGAAACCCTCCGAGAGTGTGGAGGACAGAGTCTGCTGTGCGAAGGGTTTGGGGAAGGTGAGTTCTGTACGTGTGGAGAGGTGGTTTTGCCAGGCAAGGTGCGGACGTGTGCTAGTTGTTTGAGAGGTCGACAGGATTTGCGTTCGGAACGTAGCGAGGCTAGGAGCGAAGGGATTGGGAATTCGGAACAGGAGCCAAGCCAACCGAAGCCCAACGAAGCGTCCTTTCTCGAACCTGAACAAGAAGCGGAAGCCGAACCGGATACCGATGAAGTAGGAGAGGACCCCGAGGCCTGCTTTAGTGAGGCCCAGGTTATTCTCTTAGAACAAAAGGCCCAGGACCTCCTCCAGAAACAACAGTACAACCACAAAGCGTGTGAACAGATCCTCAAAGCCCTCCCCTACAAGCAACAAAGCCGACATAGGAAAGCCTTTCAACAAACTCAACCGCACTACATCGTGTTTGGAGTGTATGCGTATGGCAATCATTATGGAATCACTGATTGGACCCGTAGGCTTCCTCAGGTGTGTAGTTACCTGCTGAAATATGTGCAACACTGGTCCACCGAACCGGTTGTAGGAACGAGTCTGATCGTGAACAACAATTGTACTCTTGGCATTCACAAAGACCCCAACAATCTTCCCAACACGAAGAACTATGTGATAGGAGTGACGCCATACCAACATGGCGAACTGTGGGTTGCCGGAGATCCTCCTAATCACCACTATAGGACCCAGAGTAAAGAACTTCCCAACAAACAACGACAAAGCGGATATCTTCTGGCTACTCGACATCGTGTGGCTTCCTTCAACGCGCGCGAGTGGCACACGGTACAGCCGTGGCAGGGAGATAGGATTATGGTTGGAGTGTATTCCAGTAGAGGGTCAGGGCATGTTTCACAGGAAGATTGGGAGTGGCTTGATGGATTGGGTTTTCGGAAGCCGTTGCAGAGCGAGGACAGTGAAGCATTTGTTGCACAAGACACCCGGGCCAAGCGAGGTTCTCACTTGGAAGAGGATATCAAGCGGAAACTGTATCTACTTCATGCGGCGACGGGTCATGGTAGTGTGCGACATATGGTGACGGCACTGAAGCGTAGGAATGTTGATCCTCTTGTCTTGCGTTTGGCTGAAGAGTTTCGATGTCCCCATTGCCACGAACGACAAAGGGTTCAACCTAGACAAATGGCCTCCCTGGAACCTCTGCCCCCGAAGTTTCATACCCTCACGGCGGACGTAGGCCACTGGGCATGTCCAGCTTCCGGAGAGCAACAGAACTTCCTCATGATGATTGACGAAGGCTCCAGATTCCGTATGGCTAAAATCCTGACCAAAGGTTCCAAACAGACTCCCAATGCTGCTACTTATACTTGTTTGAACTACATCTCCGAAGGTTGGATCCAAACATTCGGACGACCAAAGACGTTGAGGCTCGACCCGGCTGGGAGTTTTAGGTCTGCCGCAGTAGAAAGTTTCTGTGATAGAAGCGATATCTACTTGGATGTGATTCCTGGGGAAGCACATTGGCAAATCGGCATCGCGGAACAGGCCATACAGGGAGTGAAGCAGTTGATGAACAAGTTACATGAGCATGATCCGGAATTGACTCCGGAACAACTGCTGAGCTTGTCAGTGGCGACGTTCAATCAACGAGAGATGGTGAGAGGTTTCTCGCCAGTGCAACATGTTTTGGGACAGTCGCCGGATGCGACTGACAGGCATGTGCCCACAGTGCGACCACAAGATGTGGAACCTATCTTGAATGACACTGTTGCTGAATTTCAGAAGGAAGCCGAGCGAAGAGCGGTGGCTGAGAGGGCACTTGTAGATTGGCAAGCACAGCAACGTGTGAATCGGGCTATGAATTCGAGGACCCGAGCGAAGTGTATTTATCGGCCAGGGGATTTGGTGTTCTTTTGGAGGACACAAGAGTCGGGGAAGCATAAAAGGCAGCCGGGCACCAATCAGGGCCGGTTTCTAGGCCCGGCGAGGATTTTGGCTATGGAAACCAGACAGACCGAGGCAGGCCAGGCAAGACCAGGCCATGCTGTGTGGCTGGTCCGCGGCAGGAGACTGCTAAAGTGTTCCCCAGAACAATTACGTCCCGCGAGCCAGCGAGAAGAGCTTTTGGAATCCATTTCTCAAAGTGATCCCACACCCTGGACATTCACGAAGTTATCGGAAGAGATAGGTGGGAACCAGTATGAAGATATTAGTGACGAGGTTCCGCGGGAAGAGGAGTGGAATCGAGCTCAGGACGCCTCTCGAGAAGTGCAACCGAGCCGAATGCGGATTCACGGGAAACGCCCAGTTCCTCAACCAGGAATTGATGACGACATTGGCATGGAGGAAGAGGGCGGCAACAGCCAACCAAGTCGAGTTCGCAGGACCGCCGAGCAACAGGGACCACGAGGACCAGAACGTGAACGTGTTGCCTGGTCGGAACTAGTGCATGAATCCGCGTGGGCAGTACATGAAACGAGCTACTGGACCGACGAACAAGCAGCTGTAGAAATTGCGATTGACCTTCCCACGCGCGGGAAGGAAGCAGAGCAGTTTTGCAAAGATGCACAAGCATATCTGGTGAGCATGCTGAAGCGTCGGGCTGTGGAGGTGAGTGAAAAGAGGCTATCGGCAGAAGATCGAGAGAAGTTCGCAGCCGCCAAGGACAAGGAAGTTAAAAACTTCATTTCAGCACAAGCATTTGAAGCATTGCCAAAAGAGCTGCAACCAGCCAAAGAACAGGCTATCGGTATGCGATGGCTGCTGACCTGGAAGGTTCAAGACGATGGCAGTGTGAAGCCAAAAGCAAGAGCCATTCTACTAGGGTATCAAGACCCCCAATACGAGTTTCGCTCAACCACCGCCCCCGTCATGACGAGACAAACCCGACAGTTATTCCTCCAAGCTGCTGCGAATCGAGGCTGGCGCATTCGCAAGGGAGACATTTCAGGGGCGTTCTTACAAGGGCGGGATTATCCTGATGAGCTGTTCTGTATACCCTGCGATGAAATCCTTTCGGCAATGAACCTCCCAAAAGGCTCCATTACTCGATTGAAGAGGGCATGCTACGGTTTGGTTGATGCTCCTTTGGAGTGGCACAAGACGGTGGCCGAGTTCATGGAGAGCATAGGCTTAACTAGGCTGTGGAGCGACGCTTGCGCTTGGGTGTGGAAACCTCAGGGTCAGTTACGGGGAATGGTCACCGGACATGTTGATGACTTCATGTTTGGGGGTCGTGATGATGATCAGGGCTGGCAACAGGTGTTACAGTTGATTAAAGAGAGATTCAAGTGGGGAGACTGGGACCAGGACCACTTCACACAGTGTGGTGTTCAGATCAACAGCGTGCCGGAAGGGTTTACGTTGACGCAACCTCGCTATCTTGATGGCCTGGCTGAGATTCCTGTTTGCAGTAGCCGGAAGAAACAGAAGGGAGCCCCAACCAATGATCGTGAGAAATCCCAACTGCGTGCTTTGTTAGGAGGGTTGAGTTGGTACGCCCAACAAACTGGACCCCACATAGCTGCCGAGGTCAGTTTGCGTCTCTCCGACATTTGCGAATCCACAGTTGAAACCATCCTGCAGGTTAACCAACTGCTTGACTATGCCCGACAACGTCAGGACCACAAGCTTGTGATACACAGGTGCCAAGATGAGGACATGCAGTTCTTCGCGTGGGTTGATGCGGCGAACAAGAATCGTAGGAATGAGGGCAGCACTCAAGGGATTTTCATAGGGGCTGCTTCTAGGGCTTTGCTTCAGGGCGAAGTGTGCACGGTGAGTCCTATGTCATGGCACTCAACGAAGATAGACAGAGTGTGCCGCAGCCCAGGGGCATCAGAAACTCAGGCAGCGGTGAATGGAGAGGACTCCCTGTTCTACATGCGCTACCAATGGGCCGAGATGAGAGGACAAGGAGTTGACCTTCAAAATCCCTCGAACACAGCGGCACAGGTGGGCGGCACGATCATTACCGACTCCCGGAACGTGTACGACAAGCTGCACAACACGGTGCTGACGATTCAGGGGGCTGAGAAGAAATCGAACCTGGAGCTCCTCAGCGTGAAGGAGTCACAGATGAACACGGGCTTAGGAGTGCGTTGGGTCCACTCGGAGGCCCAACTCGCCAATGCTCTCACGAAAAAGGGAGCAAAAGAACTAGAGCTCTACTACAAGATGGACTTTCGATGGCGGATAGTTGAAGATCCTTCGATGAAATCGGCCAGACGACGACGCATGGACGGTCTGACACCTCTCGAGCAGGCTTCTTTACCAATTTGAGTGTGTGTAATTTTCTTCTCCTGAACTCCAGGAAAGAGAGGGCATGCAAGTGTTAAAGGACACTTCTTGCCGCTCAGCGCGAACCTTCTGGCTTCGCAGCTTACAGATCAAGGCACTGGGGTTGTGCCGAGGAAAATAGTAGTGCCCCTGCACCTGCCGTTCGACCGCAGCTCATAGGGCACTCGCTTCTTCGAACTCCTACCGTTGATTCTCGATTGAGCCATCCCTACCAGCACTTCCCACCTTGGGTCGTGCAACCCCTATCGACCCATACAGCAACTCCTTTGCACGTGGCTCTTCAAACTCGCAAGTCTGTGACAGTGACACTCCCAGCTCATCATCTTCTACCGCTAAGACCACTGCTGATGCTTCGTCTTCTTGGAGTCTTCGGGACGGGAAGCTATTCCGGCCAAGGTGCAGAGGAGCATCTGTCAAGACTCCCGATGCCTGAGGAGGGTTTTAGGCTCAGGCTTGCGAGTAGTAGCAGTCACGCTTGGCATAAAATAGTAAACATAGCCACGGGGAAAATGATGATGAGCGGCGACACTGAGACAAGGAGTGGGAGGAGGAAGGAGAAGCAGGTGGAGGACGACGACGAGTCGTTAGGTGAAGCAGCAGCAAATAACCATTATTACGATTATTATTACGATTATTACTATAATTATTACTATGCAATGATTTCGAGGAGCTTCGGGCCTGCTGTACTTGGAGTCCACGGGCAACGCAACACATCCGACTGATCTCTCAGACTGTTTCGGATGCTGGTGTGATTTTCGCAGAAATCTGTATAACGTTTGGGGCTTAGGGCCCTGAGTTGAGTTTGCCCACGGTGTTCACATGGTTTTTGCAAACTGAAACATCGAAGCTCTGGAGTGGTGGACCAGAAGTCCAAAGAAGGTTTAGGGTTCAGGGTTAGGAGACATGATCTTGTGGGATGCTTAAAGGAGGGGTTTCTTAGAGATGAATATAAACCAACACCCCCCCATTCTCACCAGTCCTCCCGAAGGTTGTCTCAAGTACCTTCACTCAATAGAATCCCCTCCCTTACAGGAACCCTAATAGATCCCTTACAGGAATCCTTATAGATCCCTTAAGGATCCCATACTGATGCGGAAACTTCGTTAAAATGCGATTGAAAACAGGGCACAAGTAGGATACCTCTTTCAGAGCAACACGACCTTGGACAAGTCTCGAGCCCCCAGTCAGAAAACACACGCCCAAAACTTATTCGTAGCCCTTGCACCATGAACCACAAAACGTAATCGTCACACTAAATACAGTCTAGGGAAGACCTCAAAACGATACAAACGCCCCAAGGCGTGAAAACTGCCATGTGCGCCTTGACATCGGCGAAAGCAAGCCCCATCGCTTGCAACGGCGATTCCAGAGATTCCTCCAGCCTCAGGCAAAAGTAAAATCTTGAATTTTGACGGGCTGCTTACTAAGTTATTGCGAGGGAAGACTATGCATTCTTCTGGTTTCTTGATCGAAGGCCTCTCCCTAATTAATCAATGTCGGTGTTTCGCTAGGTCAACGCCGCGGACTTCGAGGTACGTCTTCCCCCAATTAAGGTACATGTAAAGTGCAATTGTACTTACAGCTACAGTACCCATGAACCCTTGAGGCACCAATATGGTGTAGGCGTTATAGCGCTGCTACGGTTTAGGTTCCCCCGTATGCCACTGATGGCTGCATCAGGGACCCCTCAAACAGATCCTAAACAGTCCAAACCTCCAAAACCTATACCTGCGATTCAGGCATAAATCTTCAACCCTTGGTACTATACATCTATAACTCCTAGGTTAGTACATCACCCCACACCACTCCGCGTGTTAGAACTGTTAAAGATTTGAGGGTATGGGACTAAACTTAAAGAACCACCCACATGCGTGTGAAGTCCGGTCGAGAAACACTTCAATGACCTCTTCCCGCTGCTTCTGCTTCTTCGCCGCCTTGCGCTGAAGCTCTTCACACAGAGTTTCTTGGTCCAAAGTTTCAGACGTTTGAGGCTTGAGGGTTCGGGGGGATAGGGCTTCAGGTAAGTCTGGGGGAATTATATATATATATATATATATATAATATTATATATATATATACTTGGGTGGATCGAAGTTTGTATTGGAGGGCCTTGGTATCTACTTACCTAAGCTAACCTGCAAACACTTTCCAGTGCCAGCCTCCGTGAATTCCACTCCCCGGCGTCGGGCCAAGGGGACGAAAACGTAGACCACCACGGAGCTAATCAGGAAGATGCCTTCGGGTTTAGGGGTTGAGGGTTTAGGGCTTATAGGGTTTATAAGGTTTATAGGGTTTATAGGGTTTAGGGTTTATATAAGGTTTAGGGTGTAGGGCGGGCTCATAAATCAGGGTTTCGAGGTTTGGGATTGGCTTGGGGGTCTTGGGATTGCGGGGTTTACCGCCAGCCGCATCGAGCGCAACATACTCCGATCTGGAAGTCCCCTGCACGGAAAACCCAAATTTTTACAAAGTGGGCTCAGTGCAGGCACGCAGGCATCTGTGATGGGGAGGTTTGTTGGGAAATAAAACTTCGATGGTTGTTTCAAACATACGCTGCGAGGATCACTTGGGGTTCAGACTGCAAGGGCAGCATGTTTCTTCTTCGATTACCATACTGCTGCAGTTTCCATTGAAACACTGCACCCTGAGCCCTTACTGTCAACCCTCAACCCAGACGTGAGATGTCCCTCGGCTTGCGGCTGTCACAGGAGCATTAGAGCTGAGATCCCTCGCTTTCTGGACCAAAGTCTCGGTCGGTACATTGAAAAATGATGGGCGCAGCAATACTGCGCCACGGTGCCACGTGCAGCGCATGTAAGATGCTACCGACGGCTTGCATGCTGCAATTTATTGCACACCTTAGACTCACCTCTGCTCTACATAGTCTTGGGTCCTGGGATACAAAATTAAAGAGATGGCGTCGTCGCAGGTTCTGATGCATCAGCGCGATTGTCATGTCGTCACCCAATGCACAGTAGGTCTGACAGGAGCGCTGCCGTCTCAAAACCGACTACGACCTGGCCCGCAGGTCGGGTTCTTCATGGATGACGAACTCGATGTGAAGATCAATGCTCGTGAATATGCCGCAAATCTGCCTCTCTGGACCCCAAACAAGCGGCAACTAGGAAAACGTGGCTGTCCCAATGCTCTTGGGACTCTCTTCCGATAGAACGCACCACGAGTGGCAGCGATGCCGACACGGTTGCCACCACCTGCCCTGGCGCAGCACAAGGGTCAAAGAGCCTGCGACGGGGCTCGTGATGCTGCTCGTGCCGAATTGCCTTGCTTTGGCCGAGGTCGGCCCGGACTTGGTGCAGCATGCATGGTTCAGGGTTTAGGGTTTAGGGTTTAGCAGCCCCGATCAGCAGAGCTGGTTTGGACACTTACCTCGCACGAACCACTATATGTAGTGTACAATACACCCCGCAAACCTATTCCAATATTTATAGGGTCCCTATACTGAAAACCCCCAGGCCCCTGTAGACCCGTACAAGGAGTCCTATTCTAATCACTCAGTCCCTTTATAAGTTTTGCTGCGGAGCAGGACATGGCATTTGCACTACCTAAACCCCCAAAGTAGGTACAATAATGGCCCCAAACCTGTAAAAGGCTATTAGTCTACATACTTTTGGGGTCCAGGTACTGTTCTGTGTCAGAGTTTACAGGGATGAAGGACAGGTGTCATGCTGGATATCTAACCCGGATTCCACAAGCACAAGGCCTCCGCAGAAGGCCTGTATGGTTTAGGGCTTACGGTTTTGGATTTGTGGGGTTTAGGGCTGCGGGTTTAGGGTTCTGGTTGAGAGTTTCGGGTTGCAGATTTCCATTCCCTGTAACCCTAAACCCTGCTTGGAGGTTCATGGGTAGTATAAGTGTAGTTATAAGTCTCCTAATATGGGTCATAATTCTAGTTACCTTACTTATACCCCCACTTATAACTACCCCTGAACCTCCAAGTGGGCCTTAGCCCCAGAACCCCTGAGCCGATTTCTGCAAGGCCAGCGACCCAGTATGGCGAGAATGGGCGAGAGCACGAAGTACAAGCCAGGCGCTGCCAACTTCCTGAGCTTCCGTGCACAAGGCCAACCGAGCTTGTTTAGGGGTTAGGGCTCTTTTCAAGGGATCCCTTAAAGGGTTCCATATATACCTAAACCCCCCAAAGTAGGTAAAATAATGGCCCAACTCCCCGAAAAGGCTATTACTCTACATACTTTTGGGGTCCAGGTAGGGTTCCTTTAAAGGGATTCCGTGAAGGGCTCCATTTAGGGTTCCTTTAAAGGGATCCCTGATAACCCTGACCTTCCAAAACCTACTGTTTTGTAGGTTCTTATTACAAAACCTATTATGGAATTTATAGAGACTCTACCTACATAAAGTCGGTTCTGGCGGGTTAAGGCAGGGGCTCAACAAGGGACACGATCCACACGTGCAGTTCTTAGTCGGCAAAATAGTCCCCCCGTCTCAAAACCCTCAAGCAGAAAGACATGAAGACCTAAACCCAAAGGCCCTAAACATTACTTCTAAAAGCCCTGAACCCTAGATGCAAAAAGCCTCAGCCGCAATTCAGGTCCACTGACCGCTGTTTCATTTCTGTTTATGGACATACCCGTAACTGAGGCAAGCTTGCTTCACTAACTGTTTACGCAGCTCAGTATTTGTATTAAGTTACATATCTAATTAATGATTTGTTTATTTAGCCTCGTCTGTTCACTGTCTCATATCTATGTTTTTACATTGCCCCGTCTACATCTATGTCATAGTTGCAGGCGTTTAATGGCTGATTCGCTTTTCCTTTCCTGTGATACCCGCTAGTTGAGGCTTCTATTCTTCTTGCTAGTTGGCCTGTGCATCACTACATGGCGGCTGTCCCTGTATACTGTGTCTCGCGTTACAAGGCAGTCGTACAAACAAAAGAGCACCACCTATAGTAACTGCAGTGATCTTATTCAGACAGGCGTTCTTTGCATGAGGACTGTAGACAGGGAGCTTGCTTGAGGCACCCTAAATTCCTAAACTCTGATTAAACCTCCAAGCGCTGGGTTCAAAACTCCTTCGTACTGTATGCCTGGTGACCCCACGACGTCGAGGGATTGAAACATCTACGCACCAAGCACGACCACTCAAAAGAAAACACCGCAAAAGCATTCCGCACAGCCCTCTCTGGAAACCCCAAATCCGGGGGGAGTTCAATCTCAAGCCAACATGCTGCTAAACCGCGCTGGAAAACAATCGAGTAGTACATCCAATGCAGCTGAAACAATATTTCAACCGAATCCTTTATAACCCAGTGAAGGAAAATGAGAAATATTCCAGTGGCCTACCCGACGTGCACTTGCCCTGTATTCTGCCCACAGGCCACGCTCTCTCGAATTTTGCGGGCTTAGGTTTTCGGATAATCTGAGATACCGGCTAGACCATCGCCCCACTGAGTTCTGAGAATGCATGCCAAGCCACACCACATCATTGTTGGGGAAGAGCTGTTCCGCCTTGCCAGCTTTCGTGCCAAGCACTCTTTGTCGGAACTGGATTAAATGCTTCTGGTGCAGCATGCATGGTAGCCGCAAAACATAGCCTACCAAGCAGAACACGGACAGTGCATCAAGGCTACTAACCCTAAACCCTAAACCCTAAACCCTAAACCCTAAACCCTAAACCCCTAAACCCTAAACCCTAAACCCCTAAACCCTAAACCCTAAACCCTAAACCCTAAACTCAAACCCCGGTTGTCACAAAAAACCTACAAATCCCTTCAAAAGGCCAAGCTTTGCCATGGTCGAGGCTGCAACCAAGCTGTACACACCGAACATGATCTAGTTAAGCCTGAAGGTGGGAGGACCGTTTATGTCAGGGACACCTTAGATAAAAAAATGATAATCAGACAATCATTGCTAGCAGTATGAAGAACAGCGATACTCAAGCAATGCGAAAAAAATCGTGGTACCCAAGGGCTGTACAAAAGTGACCTATTTAAGCAGCTAGTGTATCCCAGGGCGCTGGCAGGCCTAGGACTTACCCCTAAACCCTAAACCCCGTTCCAGGTTTTGGGGGTCGATGGTTTAGGGCTTGCAGGCTTTGGGATTTAGGGTGTAGGGTTTAAGGCAACGGCTTTGCGAGCTTCAGGGGTCCTGCCTTAGCTTCTGCCGAAAGTTCTTGACCTAACACCCCAAGTGCCGTAAAACCCTGAACCCTAAACCCTTCAAAACCCCCTACATCCGAAAACCCTCCACCCGAGACCCCGAATACCCCGAATCCAAAACGCTGAACCCTAAACCCCGAATACCCCTAAATTCGAAACCCTGAACCCCAAACCCTGGACCCCAAACCATGAACCCTGAACCCCAACCCTATTGTAGATCCCTTATAACCTTATGGATCCCTTTAAAGGAATCCCTATAGATCCCTTTAAGGGAGCCCTACCCTAGGCCTTATGGATCCCTTTAAGGGAATCCCTATGGATCCCTTCAAGGGAGCCCCTACCCTGGTCCTTAAAGGGATCCCTATAGATCTCTTTAAAGGAATCCCTATAGATCCCTTTAACGGAATCCCTAGAAAACCTCGTGCCGGCCTGGCACTGGACCATGAAGCTGACCGAGGTCAGCTTGGACCTCGGTCCAGGGCGTTCATGTCGGGGCCTTAATACATAGAATAGGGCTCCTTTGAAGGGGCTCTATAAGGGTTTCTAAGAGGGATACCTTAAGGGTGCTATGATATAGCCATAATAAGTCTAATAGGGTTCCTTTAAAGGGGCTCTATAAGGGCTTCTATACGGGTACTATGATATAGGGTCCCGAATAGGGTTTTGGAGTATGATATACTATAACTACAGTAGTAAGCAACCCCCAAAATAGTATAGGTAGTTATTAAGGCTCGTATATTACTTGGGGGCTCTATAGGCAGTAGGGGTCCCTCTAAGGATTCCTCTAAAAGCGTCACACAGCACCAGCGCCTTGTGTGGGGCATCCAGATCGAGGGACTGCCGCTTGCGCCGGATTTCCTTCTTCAGAAACTCGAGGTAGTGCGACATTGTCTCGGCATTCCACATGTGCGAGTGAGAATCGTGGTTGCTGGCAATGTGCATGATACCACCCAGTTCGTCGTTCATCTCGCAAATCACACGTGCAGGGAGCATCTTTGACGACGCTGTGACGAATGCTCGTCCCATGGTGCCATCGGCCCACGTGAGTGTCGTGGTGGTGCGTGCACAACGATTGAAGTCCACGGGGATGAGCGTGCTGCCAGTGTTCAAGGAGGCCGTGTCCTGGGGTGGAGGGCTTATGGCTGGCTCGGATGTCAAGCCCCTTTGACGGTTGCCCGAATTCCTCGAGGGGTTCCCTTTAAGGGTTCCTCTGAGGGTTCCCTGAGGGATTTAGGGTTTCGGGGCTCTAAGCAGCCTCGGGTTCCTCAGCATGGTTTCCTTGGATGATGGTTTAGGGTTTAGGGTTCAGGGTTTAGGGTTTAGGGCTTATAGGGTTTAGGGTTAGGGTTTTAAGATTTAGGGGCAAAAAGAATGGGGGTTGGGTCTCTTTCAACGTATCATTACGATTAGGAGCCCTGGGGCAAAATCATGGTACTTTATTCGGGCTTCGAAACTAGGCCCTGAACAAGGCACGCTACAAAATGGGGTTCAGGTTCGAGTAGCAGGAGGGCTTCAGGGGTCTGGAGTTCAGGACTCAGGCTGTCGTGTTTAGGGATTAACGGTTTCGCGTGCCACAGGGCACAGGGTGTATATGGCTCGAGGTCTTACGGTTACAGTCACAGTTTAGTCTTTTCGGACTTTAGGATTTAGGTGTAGGCTTCAAAGTTCAGGGTTCCGGCTGATGGCTTAGGGATTTCGGGGGATGCCACGGTTACATATCTTCTGAATACTATTGAGACCGAAGAGACTCGAACAAGGGTCCGGGAGGTGGGGATATGTTCTTCTACAACTGCGAGGGTCATGAGAACTGCAGGCAGTGTACGGCTGAAGCAATTCCGCAGAGGTTTGGGGAGTACATTCCGAACCAATCATGCAAGCATGATGTAATGACACCAACATATCTCACGAACTATGCAGGCTCCTGTCTGAATTCTTAGTGGCACTGTCCGCTTGGAGCTTCGCGAGATCTAGTAAGCAGGTATGCACGCAGGTATGAACATCCCAAACAAACTCACACTTATCATCACCCAGGTTGTCGCCTCCTTCCCTAGGGCTCCTGAAGTATAGCCCTCGTGAAACCTTAGGCAAGCCTTACACAACCCCCTGTTGCCCAGTTACCGAGATGGCATCTTGTCTTATAACATCTAGATAGAAAGGTTAGATAGGTTAGACAGATTGAACAGGTTAGTAAGATTAGACAGACTGGATTAGATCACGTTAGGTTAGGTTTACACATCACAGACTAGACTGATTAGGTTGAATTCGATTAGACTAAGTAGATACATACCAAGCTAGGAAGGTAGAAAGATAGATCTACACACACCTTGCTATAGCAGGGGCCACCCATTGCATGTGTGACTGGGCTTTCTGTGAACCCTGATCCCCAACACGAGACGACTCAGGTCTGAATTGCAGAGTATAGAGTATGAAGCTTCAGTTCGGGTTTACGGTACATTAGCATTTAGGGTTTAGGGTTTTAGCATTTAGGGTTTAGGGTTTAGCAATTAGGGTTTAGGGTTTAATATCTAGGGTTTAGGGTTAAGCATTTCGGGCTCAGGGTTTAGCATTTAGGGTTTACGGTTCAGGGCTCAAGGCGTAGGATAGCCTGCGCATTTTGAACCCAGGCAATAATTTCGGTATTACCCAGGCTTCTCTACTAGAACGGTGGTGTTTCTTGGTTGTAGTGGTGTCTCAATCCTCGGGATATCGGCATACTATGAACCCTAAACCGAAACCCTCAATCTTGAACCCTGAGCCCTGGACCCTCAACTGTGAAGCCTAACATCCTACAAACAAAACGACCGGTTCTGCGCTTCCATAAACCGTAAACCCAGCGCTCTGGGGTAATTACCCTAAACCCTAAACCCTAAACCCAGGACGCGGCTTGAAGTCCAAAAGCTCAAAGACTTGTTGGATCCAGTTCGTCACCTGCCATTGGGCTTTAGCTTGAGAGTCTCCATTGTAGTTCCTTGTTTTGGTTAGCCAAAATCACTATTATAGGATCCTAACCATAAGACTGGTTAACCAAAAAAAGCAACTACAATGGAGACTCTAGGTAGGTTGGTGTAAGTAGCGCATTTTTGTGTTACGGTGAGGGGCTTAAGGTCTCACGGAGGGTTGAAGCCCTGAAGGTTTCAAGCTTCAATTCTTGGAGGGTTGGGATTTATTGCAGGGTCTTCGTCTTCAAATTTGAGCCGTGCTCTTTCTTACCTGGACCCCCAAAGTGTAGAATACTAGCCTTTTATTGGTTTTGGGCCATTATTTTACCTACTTTGGGGGATCTAGGTAGGATCTTCTGTAGAGGGTTTTAGCTTTGTTTGGAAGGTTCCCGGATTTAGGGTTCAGGTTTAGGGTTTAGGGTCGGAGGTTCCCCCATGATGGCTGCGCTGACTTCCGTACTTTTTCGACGGCCTCCTTGGAGTAGGAGATCTGGGTGGGGCAACCCAAGCGGGAGTTTCCAAAACTGGGGGACCCTAATGCAGTGCCCGAAATAGTAGGATCCTCATTACAAGGACACCTGAAGAAGGTACCCCTAATTTTCGGAAACTCCCAAGTACGATGTTTCAAAGGGGAAAAAGGAGGGACCCTTAATGGGGACCCCTACCCTATAATGGGCTATATAATGGGTACATAACAGCTATATTAAGGGTATATACCTAGGGGTCCTTGTTAAGGGTCCCTCCTTTTACCCATGGATAAATCCTAAACCCTTTTTTTTGCTTATGCTCTCCGAAGGAACCCAATACAATAAGCGAGACAACTTGACTCCCAAGCTTCTGGGTGTTGAAGCCCACATCTTAGGATCCGCATACAGGGTTTCCGTTGGCTCTTTAGCTCCTTATTTAATAGGGATTATCATCATCCCTGGCTCCGTAGCTCCTCCAATATCAATGGGTAGCTAACCCGTATGTGAACCCTAACAGGGGGGGGCGTCATAGTTAGAATTGGGTTTTGGGGGGTATGTTATACAAGAGCTCCACTAGGGACTATAGGCGGGTACTGTTCAAAATACTCCGACGCTGGTATCACAAGCCTCAACCCTGACGAGAACGGACTTCCCCTAACCAGGGAGTCTAAGGGTTGAAAGTTGAGGGTTGCGGGTTGAGGGCTAGACCCCCGAAAAATAATTAGGTATAAATGATGGCCCAAACCTATAAAAAGCTATCATTCTACATACAAAACCCTAAACCCTAAACCCTAAACCCTAAACCCTAGTTACATTCGGGGTCCAGGTAGGTTTTGGAGTGGGCTCTGAGCACACACGTCGTGAAGGCTCGGGTTTAGGGTTTCACTGTTTCGGGGTCAGGCAAGGCTCCGTAGAGCATTATATCCACAGGGGCCACGAACAACTCGAAGAACTCTGAAATCAATGCACGAGTCGAATACGCAGGGTCATCCAGCAAAAACGGTAGAGTTCTTGAGAGCCCTACTTCACCTCAAACAGGGTCCAGTAAAAAAGTGCACTCACAACCCTGAGCGCTGAATTCTAGAGGGCGTACAATCTACAAGTAGCCACAAACAGCATGTTTTTGCTGTTTATGGTTTTGAGGGCCTACTGAACCCTAAAGCCTATAAACCCTGTACAGGAAGGTGGATTCTCCGCGTCACTACATTGTGTGCCTCGGAATGAGAGGGAGGAATCAGCTCCAGAATCCCTGAACCCAACCGTCACGCGTGTCCTGCAGGTAACCTCTAAGCCCTATAAACCCGAATCGCCGAAGAGTTTAGGGTTCGTGGTGTGATGCAAGATGTTCGCAGCAATCGCACCTTTCTCCGAGCTGTGCAGGTCCCCGATGGTCAACACAGGCATAGCAACAATTGGCCGCATTATTATGTTCGAGGTTTAGGGCTTAGAGTTGACGATGTCAGAATGTTGATGACACAAATCGCGAGGGTGATGTTGTCATACATAAGACCAAGAAAAGGTCAGAATTGCTTGACATTGCTTGTAACGTGAGTTAATGACCATTGCGGATCATGTCATTACTTTGACGCATTACAACCTCCCCCTGCTATTGCTCATACCCAAAACTACCACAACCTACATACTCAAGCTGCGCACGCGCGCTTCTTGAGTATTCACCCTAACGTAGAGTTCATACAGACTCTACAAAGACAAGTAGCTAAAGAGAGGTTCAAAGCCTTCTGCGCTTTGGCTTTCCAGGCTCATCCTCGGCTTCGCGCTTCCCCAAGAGCTTCCGGACAGCCGGCGGAAGGCCTAAGATTCGCGCAATTCGGGTTCTCTAAATATAGGGGCCTGAATAAGTAGAATAGGGTTTTGGGGTATGCTATACTATAGTCATACTCAAGGCACCCCAAAACAGCACAGCATAGGTTATTGTTTAAAGCCTCTATAGCCTATAGCAGTTAGAGGGGTTTGGAAAGGCTTGAGAACCGGCTATAGGATTTCTGAGGGCCTTCGCTGCTGGTAGCGGAGTGCTGAAGGCTTGTCAACCGGGGTTCTAGACTTGCAAAAGGTTGTTGGATACAGGAACCGCCACACTCCCACAAACCCGAAACATCAGGCAGTGCTTGCCAAGACCTTAAACGCACAACGGCACTGCTGGAAACCCCAAGATCCTAAACAGATCATAAAGAGCAAGTGCCACACTAAGAACCCATACACCAAACACTCAACCCCTGCTAAACCACCGTATCAAAGAGACCGTTCTTCTTCAGCAGCGTCTGGATCTCTTTGTTCTTGGTCCCGAACTCCATGCACGCTCGCTGTAGAGGCTCCACAGCCTTAAAAACTTGAGGGGCGTGAATGATTGGAATAGGGTTCCTCTAAAGGGGCCTATAAGGGCTGCTATAAGGGATCTATAACGGTACTATAATACATTGGCCTAAATAACAACCTGTACTATTTTGGGGGCTCCTTATCACATTTATAGTGTAATGGGTCCCAACACCCTATTGTAATTATTGAGGCCCCTATATTAAGGGTTTAAGGATTTCGGTTCGGGGCTTCGGGGTGTAAGGGTTTAGGGCCTAGAGTTTAAGGACTTGAGGGCTTAGAGGTTCAGAGGTTGCGGTTCAGGGCTTTGGGGTTTAGGGTTCAAGAGTTTAGGGTTTGAGGTTCTCTGGGGGTTTAGGGTTTTCGAATGGAGTTCAGGGGTTTAGGGCTTACCTTAACCCCAAATCAGGACCTATATTATAATATGTACAAGGAACTCATATTAAAGACTCGAAAAAGTTGGTTCTTTTGGGTCCAGGTAGGACTTACGGCTTTACTGTAGCCTGCATCATTAGAATAGGCTTTTGGGGCCCACTATACCATAATCATAGTAAGGAATCCCCAAAGTACGGCTTATGGTGTATATCCTGCATTACCTACACTAAGGAATATACCATCATTCCCCTAGTTTAGGGTCTTCAAGGCAATGCAGGATTTATATCATCAACAGTAGTATTGGTATTTATTGAGGTTCCTCTATTACACTCTCGGGTGCACGGCCTTGAGGACGGCGGCTTCGGCGATCTCCGCAAAACTCTCAACGCGGATCTCCGCTTTCCTGGGCTATCGCTGGTGTATACTAGTAAGGTAGGTGCAATAGGCAGTAGGTGTATACTAGTCAAGGAGGAGCATTGATAATTAGAGCAGCGTTTCGGGGTATATCGTTATGGTATAGTCATAACCAGGAGCCATAAGGAACAACAGTACTAGTTATTTAGGCCCCTACAGCATGCCAAACAAACTATCGCTGCTTAGGACCAACGAGCAAGAGAGTTTCAGTTTCCTGAGCAGGCAGAAAGATTTGTTCAACAGTGGCCAGGTTTCAGGGTCTCCGCCAGAATGTCTACCACATGCTGCACTTGCCAGCGGTGGGCGAGGTCGAAGGCCTCCAGTATTGTCTTGTACTCGAGCTCGAGGTATGTGGAGCTTGTATACAGTACGTCCACGAAGAGCGTCATACCGCACTTCGTTGAATCCCTCACTTGAACTCGCCTGTCTTTGCCTTCTTTCATGGCGGACTGTAGCATGGCTTTCAGAACAGGTGAGGCGGCCATCAGGATATGGTCATGAGCAGAAACCTCACCGGCTGAAGTTTCGAAGATCACGTTGTGTGTGGAGCTCATCTCTCGGACAGACTCCCACAGGTTGACGACACCCTCATGCACCGCAGCTTTCCGGACCTTCGGAGATTTTGCTCGCTTCATGAGCACGAGAACATCTTCCGTAAACTGTTGAACCTGCCGAAGATCGTGCTCTCGCGCGGAAATTTGCAGCGAACAGGTTAATGTCAGTGCTGAAACACCTGGCAACGCCAATTGTGGACCACCTTTGCATTTCTGACCCGGAGGAAGTTTATGCATCGGATCTGCGCCAGCTTGTAGGATTGTGTTGATCACCTCGAGCTGTCGAGGCATTTTATCTGTGGCACCGGCAGCGATATTGGAGACGTATTGAACGATCGCATAACACAGCGGTGGCGGCTCGTCCTTCGAAAAAGGCTGATTCCAATCGAAATCGGCAGGCGAGAATTGCCGCAGGGCCTCAGCATCACAAATGTCAATGAAGGCTTGGACAATGCTCGAGTCGGCCATGCCCAAGGGCAGCAACCGCTGACAACTAGCAGGCGTCCTTGAGCCTATACAGTTGCATGGACTTGGGGTCTGGGGTTCAGAAACCTGACAGCCTACTCAATGAACCTTACAACGTACATCCCAAAGCCCTAATGGTTGAGTTGAGGGCTTAGGATTTCGGGAGACCCTATAGCGCTAAACCCTGTACACCCTAACCGTGCCCTGGCGAAGCTGCCTGTTGTGGCCAGGGGTATGTAAAGGTCTGCACGGTCTCGTCGCAATTGTCCTCCCCTTGCGGAAGCATATGGTGCGACTTGCAGTTGGAGGCTTACCTATAGTCTCCATTGTAGTTCCTTTTTTGGTTAACCAAAATCTCTATTAGAGGATCCTAACCACAAAACTGGTTAACCAAGAAAGGAACTACAATGAACAAAAGGGTGGTTTAAGATTCTTGGGGTAGGGATTCCTTAGTGTGAACCCTATTATGGTAACCCTGATCCCTACTAAACCCCCATAGGCTAAAACCCTTTTTGGCCTCTCCTGTGATACCCTTATAGATCCCTTTAAAGGAACCCCTATAGATCCCTTTAAAGGAACCCTAGGGATCCCTAACCCCCAATAGGCTAAAACCCATTTTGGCCTCCCGTGATACAATGGAGACTATAGCTACAGTCCAGGGCCGCCTGTTTTGATGCCTCCAAGCGTATGAATCACTCAAGTACATGCTCCAGTGATCTATACTGAACTTAGAACCCTAGCAAAAATTATTATGTTAGCTGTTTCTTAGGGGTTATAATAACCAAAAATTAAAAAACAACATTTCTAAGTACCCCTAAGGGAGATCGGTTCCGGAATCAAGATATTGATTGTTGATTGACCTGGGTAACCTGAAAACTCACAAACGCATTGAGCTTTGGGGCCGTGCGGCTGATGGGCAACATGATGCCTTACCTCAACTTCAGCAACGTAAACTGTGGGAGTTCTGGTCTGCACCTTGCTATGGGTGATGCAGGATTGCGTCCATGAGAAAGAAGGGAATGGACGGCAACTGCACTACCGCGGCTGCTCGTGCTGCGAGACAGCATCCGACTGCGATTGCTGAAGACTGACGACAACATGCAATTCAATCGCCCCAGGCCAGCATCTTGGGTGTTCTTTCGCAACTGCTCACGCGAAAGCCCACGACAGTTTGGGGTTCAGAGTTCAGACCTTCAGGATTTTAAGTTTTGCACTCTGGGATTTACGGGGTGGGTGTTTGGCAGGGTCTCGCCCTTTTCAGAGTGCCAGCCAAACCTTCAGCGAACTTGAAGCTTTGCATGACACGGGTTTATTTCTGACGTGGGTCCCTATTCGGGTCCACCCGGAAAATGCTTGCATACGGCCTTTGGAGTCTAGTCTAGGGCTATACTCATATCTTGTTTCAAGCCGTTCTTTGCCACGTCCTGTACCAAAAAAAGCGGTAATGCCTCAAAACCCTGAAGCCCAAACACAGCTGGACAAATCTGCACCCGGGACCCTAGGGTGCGAGACGGAACTAATCAAACTATATTCTTGTCTTTTCGCATACACCCGCTTGTATCACGTACCCACTCCTGTTCCCTGGAATCTGGACCCTGCCTCCAAATCCAAGCCCCTCAGTCTGAACCGGAACCATTTCCCTTTTCTCATGCTTGAGTTAAATTTCACTCCGACGAAACAAGAGACCATTCAAAATCAATGTCTGTATTACAAGCAACATGTCGCTTTAGAAAAGCGACCGATATGAGCCCCATGGCCATGGGCAATGGCCCTACCTATAGTCTCCATTGTAGTTCCTTTTTTTGGTTAACCAAAACCTCTATTATAGGATCCTCACCACAAAACTGGTTAACCAAGAAAAGGAACTACAACGGAGACTATAGGTAGATCCCGAACTCCCGGATGTCTAAGCCCATAAATCCTTGTCAAAAAGCTCTTCAAACCAACACCTCAAAATCCTAGACCACCAAACACCCAACCAGCTCCCGGGACTCGTGTTGGTCTGAGGTCGGCACCAAAACAGCTCGATTGCAGCTGGAGGTTCTCCTCAAACAGTTTGCTGTTCTGGGATATAAGGTATTGAGTTTGGGGTGAACGGTTTAGGCTTTAGGGTTTTCACAAGAGGGGCTACAGGGTCTTAGACGGAACGCATTCGATCTCTACGGCAAGACCTTAAGCTCCAAAATAAACGGCCCTGTGCCCTGAAAACCAGCGCAGCCTCCGTCCAGCTGAACACCGGGAGCTGGTCGATGGAGAAGTGTGTGATCACCTATTTCAGTGCCCCAAACTTTGTGGGGCTTTGGCTTTCTGATCCTTTGCAACGATAAAACTATCGAGTTGAGGCGGTAAGCTTGGGGACTCAGGTTTGGGGAATATGCGAATTTGACTACCCCCAAACCCTACGCCCCAAGTTTGAGGCTTCCGCTAGCTCGGGGCCAGGGTCTAAAAGACCGGGGCTTTGGGTTTGTTTGGGGAGCATGGTTATATACTTATAAAAGCGCTCCACAGAGAAATGTACAGGTTCTAGAACACTTTTTAAGGTTTCTCTAGACCCTAAACCCCGAGGCCTATCGACCCTAAATCCAGACGATTTCTGAATGTCGTGTTATCGAGTCCTTCGGCTTGGCTCAGGCACACTGGTGCAACTAAGCTAGAGGATGATGGGACTGAGTGAGTGGACTACGAATGAGGCTTCGATTAGGATGAACCCACTTGGGTACCCTTCACGCTGACCACCAAACACTGCCTACTGAGCTTCCTGAGCCTCCCTGTAACCCTTAAAAAGCCCTAGTCCTAATCGAGACTCGGAACCCGCCAAAGACAAACAACGGGATCAGTCCGTGCAGGCATGCGCTATGAGGTATCTTGCGACGGCGTTGTCATCCTATCGTCGGGAAAGGTCGGTTCAGGAGCAACCGATCGGAAGACTGCTCGGATCTTGTGACTTTGTAAGCAAGTTGTGCGGGATATGGTAGGCAAGCTGCGAGTGCTTACAACCCTACCTATGCCCTTAGCTTCGGGAACCCCGCACCTTAAACCCGAAACCCCAACCCCCAAACCCTAAAACCCCCCAAAATCCAGAAAAAAAAGGGAAGCTCGTCTGACTGCAGTGCAAGTGACGGAGCAGGCCTTGGACTATTTTCGAGCTATGAGTTTACGCACCGCTTTTTGAACGAAGCTTATGGGGGGCTTTCGGGTGTTAGCGTTGGTGGGGAGGGGGGGGGTAGGGTTCAGGAATGCAGGTTTTAGGGTTAACCGTTCAGGGGTTTAGAGGTTAGGGGGTGGAGGTTCCAGGACTTCATTGGACTTTGTTTGCGAAGTCTGGGATAGTTGTTTAGAGCGGACTTGCGCAGTGCTGTAGATCTTCGTATTCGCCACTCTTACGTAGGTCATGGAGCTGTATGGATAATATTGGAAGTCTGCGTAGGTTATATGAGTAGTTCTCTAAATCACGGTCCGGCACCCTTACAAAAAGGACCGTAACAGGCACCCTAATTTAGGGAAATGTCCATATACAGTGCATACATCTGTATGGGCGTTTAAATGCCTGTATACGGCTCTGAGGGCTTCGGGGCCTACACCTAAACTTGTTGAGCTCTTTACGGCTTTTCTAGCTGGTTTGTCACCGTGTTTCCCAACCTCGGGTTGGAAGGTAAGGTGCGTGGAGTTTAACAGGTGCTTATTAAGGTGCGTTGGCTCTAAGTAGGGTTTAGGGTCACCTCTGCTGGGCACTTAGGACCAGTAGGGCCGGGGCGAAGGGAGTTGCCTTGCTGTACGTGCGTAAATCATAGACCCTGAACCCAACGAACCGAAATTTCAAAGCCCAGCACCATGACTATAGAAACAGTAGTACCATCAACAAGTTCAAGTAATGTTGGATCAGGCGGTGGTTCCATCCGGCTCTACCGATGATGAGCATCATTATCTCGACAATTCCGTGAAGTGCCGGTGAGCACTCTGGTTGTGCTGTGTTTATTCTGTCTAGAAAACACAGTCATGTGTGCATGAACAACCCTACAGTACAGCTCCAGTTCGCGCGCAAACAGCACAATCCTGGACCGGAAACCATCACTCACTCACAAGTTTCAGTTCAAGCAAGGAGACTTGAAATCAAAAATGGAAAACATCTAGAACGCTCAGCAACTCCTTGCAATTAAGGAAAAGAAGAGAACCACTGGGAAGCAAACTTACTCACCAAACAAAGATGCATTTTGTGCTCAGTAGTGCATACGCAGGTTCTACGGAAGGATAGTTGGGGATGTCTAGAAAACCCTACACACCAAAACCCCTAAACCTTAAGGACAAAAAAGCCGAACCCTCAACCCCGGACTCTGCACCCTTGTTCGAGTGGCTCAGACCTTGAAACAAACTGCAGCACAACATCATACTATAGAGAATGGGATTTCTCTGATAAATAACTGCTATCTATTTAGGCTTCGATGTTGCCGCCCATACTTCCTGCCATGGTGCCGTCATCCACTGCGTGCTAATACGGATCCTCAGCTTCATTTGAATCAAGAAAATTTGGAGGATATTCCAAACTCTGGTCCTTTTCAGTTCTCCTTTGCAGCAGACATAGCTTGGTTCTGCAGCGCCGCCCTGGATGTTTAATGAGTGCAGCTCCTTTCGGGCCATCCATTGTTGAGGGCTTAGGGTTAAGGGTGTCGGGCGTAGGGCTCAGGGTAAAACCGACAAAAACAGCTTCATGCAGCTGATCTTGTGCCCAGCTGCCCGCGAGGCCCCCCCAACTCAGAACAAATCCCCAATGCTTGAAGGTTCATTGGCAGTTATAAGTGGAGTTGTAAGTCCATTTAACAAGGCAAAGAATTATTATGGTTTTCCGACATATAAACCCACCCATAACTACCGATGAACCTCCAAGTACGACTGAGCCCCGGTAGTGGGCCTCTATAGACTTTTGAAACTGGAAGCAGGAAGCGCCCATGGGATCTGGACGCTGAAACAGCAACAAAGATTTTCCATAAACCCTAAGCTGAAAGATG